CACACACACACACACACACACACACACACACACACACACACACACACGCACGCACACACACACACACAATTTGGAGCATAAATCAACACGTTCACTCATCAAATATATGCTGTGTGGTTCTCTGTAGTCCGTCCAGTGCACCAAAGACAAATAATTCTGTCCAAAGTCCAGTTGGAGAAATGGAAGGGGCAGAGGATTGTCAATATATGCACACATATATTAAACATAGCATGTCTATGTGTGTTCAGGAAAGACAGACATCATAAAGACTACCTTGTGAATCTTTGACTATTAAACCCCATTTTTTCATGTTTTAATATACTTCTGTCTTTACAAAAATTCTTACATGATAAAGTTGAATTGTTCAATACGTTTACATCATAATACAAAGGTGGTTAGTCATGCGTATGTTAGTATGTGTATTCTATATGAGTGACTATAAAGATTTGAACCACCATTTCAATTTCAACAAGTCCCTGAAATTACAAAATAAACTCAGTCATGACAGCTTCTTCACACCATCATCTGCCAGTCATCTCCACCTCCATCTTGACCGGCTCAGGCTGCCCTGCCTCTGCACCACATTTGGGGCAGGTGAGGTAAGCGTCTGCAATGCTGTGGCTTTTGATGCAGTAGTAGCAGAAAACATGTTGGCAGCCCACTGTATGAGGCATGGTGGGCCACTCTCCGCACAGTCCGCACTCTTTCCACGCGCCTTGCTCTTCTGTCGCCCCCTCCCTATCAGCGCTGTCTCCCGCCAAAATAAATGACAACACGGTTGCCTTCAGCTTCCTTGTATTGATCAGTGGTAACAGGAAGATGAGGAACTCAGCAAAGCCGTGCCACAGCAGCTCGCGGTTCATGTACTGGTAGGTTACGTCCCGCACCACATTGGGCTTGCTGAAAACCGCCCGAGCTCCCACGATCCTTTCAGCCAGCACAGGATGGCGACCTTTTCTGAGGAACACAAGGAAGTTGATGAGACTTGTGAGCTGTGTGATACTGGAAAAAAAGGTCAGGCAATTGCGGAGACCCTGTTGGAGTAAACCACCGTCTCCTTCAGACACGGGCCCTCCTGAACTCAAGCACAGCAGCAGGCTGCGGGAGCGCTCCTGGAGCCAGCGGGGACCTGCAGTGAGCAGGGCCAGACCCAGCTTCTGCCTGCGAGACAGAGGTCTGTAACGGGGAGACGAGGGGAGGATGTTGTGGTAGCGTAGACTCAGTAAAGACTGGCCCACAGTGGCACTGCTGGAATAAAGTGTGAACCTCCACAGAAGCAAATGGAGCAGAGCCCTCAGTTCAGGCTCCAGCGGCGTGAGCAGGCCTGGGCGGCAGTTGTGGAAGCACTGGGAGAACTGGGTCCATACCAGCTGCTCGAGGGATGAGTCTAGCTCGAGGGCATCCAGCTGGCTGATGCGCAGTACTGGGGTCTGCGGGTCAACATCGGTCTCTCCAGCCGAACTTTTTTGGTTGTCCTCGCTTTCCAAACCTGCTGGAAAAAATAAAACCAACGAGTGTAAATATGATAATCATGTTTTTCAGGAAATGTATGCGCGGACTTCAATTTTGCAAACGATAAATAATATACAAAAAGAATGTAAACAATCATTTTTGTTTAGTCTGGGCCTTCAATCCGAGAGTTAATATACATACGAAGTTGATTGTTGACGAAATAATCTTTGGCTTTCCACTGAAGTGCATGAAGGCATCGACATAAGTAATCAGACAGGTTTTACAATAACGGCTAAAACCACAAAAATAGTAAAAAGTTGTAAAAAATAAAAAAAACTTCCTCCTAAAACTGTTAATCAAGTATTAATAATAATAATAATCGTACATTATTAAATACCTTATAAACCTACGTGCAACTCCATACTTGACAGGGACATGAACAAAATGTATACAAAGGCACAACTATTAAAAGGACAACTAGGTTGTTGGGAGGAATGAGGCCCCCGGAGGTGAGGCCCATCCTGTTAGGAAGGTTATTTTTTCTTTATACATAGAAACGGAAATCACTTTTCACATGTAAAACCCATCCTTAATGCAACCTTTGAGCTGCGCAATGCAGAAGAGCAGGGGGTCTTAGACTGCTCTCTCCAGTGTATAAACACACACAATCCAACACACACACGTAGACACACACACAGATACACAGGAGGCAAAGCTCGGGGGCTCTTGGTGCCGGCTCCCTCTGGAGATAGGGGTGTGTGTACAAATCACATCACTAGGGATTAGGCTAACGGCACAGTCTCTGGTACACCGTAAACATCTGCCAAATGTGGAACAATTTTCCTCCCCCTAGAGTCGCCTCCATGTGGGATCCCACCATTGTGAAGTCTGGGCTATTTTGCGCCGCATACGATTCCAAACTGCTCACAGTTCCCCCAGTTTTATCTGCCCTTTCCTCAAATGAAACGCTTAAGAAGTGGGAGACTAACTAACGCAAGGAGAGACAGAGCAAGAGGCCCAGAGAGAGAGAGAGACAGAGAGGCCTTTTTCTGACAGTGGCTTTTGTGTCTCGCTGAACAGGATTTGTCACGAGGCTTTAAAAGAGATTTCAGCTGGGTAAATATGGCAGTTTTGACAGAAAGAGAGAGAGATGATGGTCACTTTAGACGTTTCTCGAGGAGGCAAAAAAAAAAAAAAATCCATTTAAATATGCGGTGGCAATGCTTGGGTTTATTGCGGTGCACAGGACCATCTGTGTATTCATGATGTTTCAATAGAGCCAGGATACACCGTCCAACTAAGTTAGAATTAGCAAATGAATGAAAAAAAGAGTGAATTCACGCTGAAGTAAGCAGGTGTGACAAATTCATTGAGCTGCATTTGAAATGCTGCCATGTTTAGTGACTAGAACCTCGCCTGTGACGGAAGTGGAGTTTGGCTTCAAAAAAATAAATAAATAGATAGAGGTAGTCAGACTGTGTATGGTAACCAATAAACAGGCTCCATTTGTTTAGCTTAATCTGAAAGTTTTTCCTTGATGGGAGAAAATGTGGAGATTATGTGCCTGTGTGTGTGCGTGTGTGTGTGTGTGTGTGTGTGTGTGACTATGTATGTTTGTCAAGGGTAGCCTTGATCTATGCAGAGCTCTCATACAGAGCTAAATTAATCTATCAGTGCATGGTAACACAGACGCCCACACAAACACACACTCACACACACACACACACACACGCACACAGCCAGGTGGTGGAAATCCCCGTCACAGCAGCAGCAGCCCTCTCGGGAGAGCAAACCCGGCCGGGTCCAATATTCTTTTCAAAGCCTTTTATCGAGCAGTTTACAAGTTATGAATGAATATGTTTTATTTGGGGAAACACGGTATTGACAGCCACCTATCAATAGTAATGTGACTATTGTCAAGGGTCTGTCAATATTAATGTAATTATGATGTAGAGGGATCAGAGGGATGCCAGAGTCGGGGGCCAAGTAACATCTCCTGCCCACTGCCATATCAATAGCTGGGATTGCTATTGACAGCTTCCCTTCAGACTTGCAGCACTTGCCAAATATATAACAAGCAGACACTTCAGTCAATGCAGGGGCTGCCTATAAAAATTAAGCATTTGAATTTACAAGGCTCTCACCGTGGACGGCTGGAAATCCATGTTCCTTATGTAATAGTCAAAAGTCACAGTCAATGTCAGTGTTTACAGAGCACTGGCACGGTGTGTGTTTGTTGGAGGACAGCCATCTACACACAAGAAGTACACGGATACAAGCAGACGGACTCTTTCTCGGATGATTTCGCCACAACCACGCACGCCTGATGTGATGTATTGCCTTGATAATTCTCCCGTGGGTCAGCCAACCAACCCGACCCAAAGACAAAATGCCCTCTCCTGGTTGTCGGCAGCTGACGACCAGCAGTCAGAAGGCAGGTTAGAGGAGTTCACTGAAAAATCAACAGATAAATCTGGGGTCTTGCTTTTCTATCAGAGCTGTGTAACATACTTTAAAAAGATCTTCCTGGGAATATTAAAAGGTTATTTTGATTCAGGTCAGATGAGTTTGTTCCCCCCCCCCCCTCCCTCCTTGTTCCCTTAGTCGGTGCATCTTGTTCTGACAAAGATAGCGCACTGCCTCAAGGCTGACTGCCGTAGCTTACAGACAACAACAACAACAATATCCAATCTAACAGGGAACAAACTGCAACATCGCTTCAAGGCAAAAAGGGGCCATGACCAGTGTGAGGAAGGAGAGACGAGGCAACAAAAGCCTACAGAGCATCAGACCGAAGCCTCGCAGCTGCACCGGGTCCTCTGAAAAACAGACAACGGGCTGTAATGACACCCAACAGGAAGATACAGATAAACAAAGAGACAGACGCGTCACGCCACGCGTCATCAAACCCTCAGCCAGGAGCTCTAAACTACTGTCTACTGATACAGTGAAGGGAAAAAAAGAAAAAAAAACTGGGGGCAAAGATAGCTCGGGAGAAAAAAAAAACAAGGGAGGAGAAAAACAGATAAGCACCAACCTCTCCCTTGGAGCTGACCTTGAGACTGACGGTCACAATAAAGGAGGAGGGAACATTCCTGAAGCATATGCGGCTCAGCCCCACTGAGGTGCGGGCATCCAGGGAATAGCCTATAGAGAGAGAAAGGCTGCACTTTCTTCTTGACCTTGGCTTTGGTGTCTAGGGAGGGGATGAGGGTGTTTAGGGCAGAGGACTAAAGACTGAGGGATGCTGGGAAGGTGGAGTATCTCTGGGGGATTGCGTTTAGCTTTTTCCCGCAGCAGACAAGTGCTCTGAAGCTGCTCACAGGGCTATCATTCCATGCCGTTTGGAAACGGTGTGTCCAGAAGTCTTGATTAAGCTTATGGTGTGGGGCAGGGCTCAAACACCTATGCACTTAACTGTGGTTGTTAGCGTAATATATTTGCTGAAATAATGCATAAACATTCACTTAGCTTTCTATGATGCTTGTAGCAAGAAGCCGGCTATGCATTGGCAAAGCATGCTGGATTACAACTTTACATTTTCTTCTCTCTTCCATGTAAATTAATTTGTGTAAAAGCTCTGGTGAATAGATCCTATTTCTCCGAGCACTCTAGTCGCGTTTTTTTTTTCCTTTCTTTTTTTCCCCTCTTTCGCCCCCTCACTTTATTGCCCTTCTTTCGCCAGGAACGAGCGCAGGCCTATTAGCCATGGCCTTCTAATGTCCTCACTGTGAAAACGGATGAGAATGTCAGATTTAGAACTTTTAAGAGAGTGATGTCATACAGCAGACCACAGGCATTACAGGGACGCTAAGATTACCCAGGCGGTAACCAGACTAATTGTTATGAGTCTGTTTCATGAAAAATGAATGCGTTCAAATGCAGGGGTCTTCAGGCTGTGTGTGTGCGTGCCACACACTAATGCTTTATCAAGGCTCTCCCCTTTTTGTAATCACCCAAGACTCCTCCGAGCCACGGGGTGAGGGCCAAGTTAATGCCTGAGCACAAAAAAAATACACATCAGTTAGAACAGCACGTCTGACATATGAAAAAAATTTGCTCTGCTTAATCTGGTTTGCTCAGAAGGTAAATTATTTAAGAGAATTAATTGATTTCATGAGTAGGAATGTTGAGTATGCTGGGGCTGTATGAGTAATAAGTACAGGGGTTTGCAAAAAAAACAACTTAAAAAGTAATGAAACATTTAAAAGCGCAGAGGCACAATGAACGTGGAAGACAAAAAATGGAACAGCTAATAAACGAGAGAACTGAAGTTGTGTCTTTCTTAGGACTCACAGAGGGCACTGGGGCCTCACCTCATGCAAATAAAATGTGTTGTACTGAGGAATATTTGATCGGTACATTTCCGAACTTTTGCTTTATGCATGAACACATTTTGTCACTTTTTTTTTTTTTTTAATCTGTGTAACAATTAGAAAATTCTAAAGTGAGGTGGACTTTTTGTCTCCAGTAAATCTTTGAGAATGTGAAGGCCACTGCAGGATGGGAGATTTAAAAATGTGCAGTCAAACCCACGGTGCAGACCGATACTTTTAGGAATCCCTCATTTATATCTGCGAATCAATTTGGAGAATTGGATTGCTGCCTCTGCAAATTGTACCCATAATGACATGTCGACATGTTATAGGCAACTTTCATATTAGTTTGGAAGTTTAATGCCTCGATTTCCAGCCAAAATGTACACATTATAGCGAGTGCACTGCAAATATGATAAAAAAATACTGTGATACTTGGAGACAACTGAACATGATGTTTAAATGCAATTATTGAAGCACACTGGATGTAAACAGCTGTAACAGGAACACAAATCTGTCCAATTCCTATAAGTCTATAGCTGGTACGTATGGATTCTAAAGCGAAAAGGAAATGAATGAAATGACATGAATAAAAACAAGATAAAAATCAGTCTGAGAATTAACATAGCCGTTAGATGTACAATGTATGTGCGATATAATGTCTTTTGTTCTCTTAAACGACTAAAATGATAAAGCTAATTCAGGAGGGTGGAATTCTTTCCCAATGAGTGCACAGACAACCCCTCTTGCTTTTATCACTTCCCTTCATCTGAAAACTGTATAAAATGACCTTATGACCGAGTGAGATCACAGCCCAACTTAACTTCGGCGACTCCCTTAAAAACACACTCATTACACTAAGTGTTTAGCTCCAGAGGCACATGCCTATACTTCAATTTCATGCAGCCGGTCCACATTCTCCTCATAATGACATTGTCTCTTAATTTTTTAAGCCCATGCCCATCAGTCTTTAACAACAACAAAACTCAAATCTGCTCCATTTTGATAACAAGGCCAAAGCATTATGAGATAATCACAGTGGGGATTAGGTTTTTGGATAGAGTGTGCAAGAGCAGTGCAGTCAAAGCCAGTGGAAAAGAGAGATAGAACCAAGAGAGAGATAAGAGTAGAGGAGTAGTGATTGGGATGAGAGAAGTGAGTAACGTTGGTCTCTTGAAAATCAATAAGATCAACTTTACCTTGATTTGCAGTGTGGAAGGTTTTGATCTCTGCCACTAATTATTTAGTGGAATAATGTAATTATGTGCAGAGCAGCACTCTTGAAGGAAGACACACTCACTCACTCAAAAGGTTACCATCCGAAGTTGCATATGGCAAATATACCTGACAACATGACTCACAATTCATAATAGTTGATCGTTTGAACCGTATCCACTAAACGCATCGACAGGCATCAACAATCGATTTGATTTTAAATTCAAACATGCAGGTGTGAAGGGGGACAAATACACTGAGAGAAGACAGCAACAAGGAGGGGAGTCTTTTAAAATAAGCGGAGGTGGCGCATTTAAGCTTTCCGTGGGAATACCAGGGTGTGGAGAAAAAATAATGCACACTTGGATTTTCGCTGAACAACACAACGAAGTTATAATTACCCATTTCTGTTCAAGGCAAAGCCGAGCTCTGTGCCATTTCTCTCTGATCAGACCAAAACAACACGTATATCCGGGTTGTGCGAATATGCACCGCCTCCTAAAGAAAACTCACCAATGGTGTGCAGCGACGTCACGGCTACGAAGCCAGATGGTGCAAATGAGCCAATCAGATCACACAGAGCCAACGCAGCGGCAAAGCAGGAGGGTGAAACGTCGGTCTGTTTGGAAATAATTCACGAGTCCTCCGTTGTAGTAACGGAACATAGCGACTAATTTGTTGGTGAAGCCACGGTAATTCACATAAAGTAACACAGACAATGTCTTACATGCACTTAAAATGCCATGCATTGCCTTTTTTTTCAGGTTTGCGCAACAGTCTGATAACGTAAAGTATACAGCTGTGCAAAGATTCAACCAGAGGAACAAGCCGTGGTTTTGAGTTGTAGCTTTTTCGAAGCCTACGGTTTGTTGCATAAACATTACGTGTACTTTTATTCGAGCCATGCTAAAAACTTGCACAACCACATGAGCCAAATTACAAAAAACATCTCCAGGGTCAGGCGAAAACTGGAAGCTATCGGTACAGCGGATGGATGCTTTGAACCTGCCCTCTCCTTCAAAAGAGGAGCTGAGAGTAGCCATCCACGACCCTGGGATGGAGACAAACAACATTAAACAGCTTGTACACGAGTTCAGAGGACTTTACGAGCAGAGATTGACAACTCTGGAGCTGGACACCAGTGTAACCAGAGAGGAACTGCTACAGGTGAGTACCTGACAAGGTGTTACCACACGTGTGTGCTTATGGTAATGACGTCGCGCGGTCTAAAGCGCTGCAAATAGGCTCCAGTCTCTCTGGAGATGTGGGTTCAAAACCCCCCGCTGCCATTATAATTGTCTAACGTTATGATAGTTCTTAGCTACTGTAATATGTGCAAGACGTGTGACATCATTGACTGATACTGTAACATTGTAACATGTAGTGACTAACAAATAAATTACAACTTGGTTAGTTTGACCGGGGCTACTTTGCAGCCTCCTTAGGTAAATCCAGGGCACTGAACCTTGTATTTAATAGGTCCACAACATAAATTATACATACAAAAAGAGGAATTATTGAGGACCTTCTTCAGACCCAAAGTCTCCACAGTAAGTGCAGTTTTCTTCCAACATCCATTGTCATTAGGTTGTCATCCATCCAATACAAATCAAAGAGCATCCTGTCCACCGTGACTCGGGCATCAGAAGATGACCTCTGTCCTGTCAGACAAATGACAGGAGGAAGCGCAGGGGTGCTTTCATAAAGCCGCAGCACTTGTAACAGGTGGCAAATTGCATTATGTTTCCATCTGAGCGGCAGGGATCAGGAACACAGATCCACACTCATATTTAAAAAAGAGAGGTTTCTAATCATCAGGATTGTCATGTGACATCATTTAGCTACAGAATGTAGCCTGTGTGAGCTGGGCTGTGCATCAAAGCAAGTGTAACAAGGTTTCAGAGATGGGTTTCGGTCAGCCGGCCCCAGTCGCGGGCCCGCTTAACAAGGTTATGTGTTCAGAACTCAGAAGCTCCCCGAGTCCTAAAGGTTGATGTGGACAATTAATCATAAAGCTTGTCCATTGAAAACACACAGCCCATTCATCCATGAACCCATTGTATGTTTATAATGTTTCCTAACATGTTGGAACAACCTCCCAATTATAGAATTCATATAAAGTATGTTTTTTTTCTTATGCTTTGTGGCAGTAATCACTGTGAGGGGCTGAGCTGGCAGGCATGAGGCTCCTCAGGTGGAATTTCAAAAGGAGGGTTTTCTTAACCCCAAACAGGAGCAAACAATGACCATGATATATGTGTATATATGATAATATATTCTAAAGAAACAAACTATAACCACGATGTGACTAATACATGGTGCATTCTGATTGGCCATTTCCTGTATTTAAGAGCTCTGCTTTAGGGCGGCATCTTCTGCTCCAGCCTTGCAAGATGTCCCTCCAACAGCAGCGGCACTCTCAACACTGGTATCTCAAAGTTAAATAGAAGTTAGAACAACTTAAGGCAAATGTATGTAAATACAAACTACAGCGCAACTGTACAGTAGTTAACTAAGTGTGTGTCCTTCAAATAGAAACTAATGTTCTACCAACAGTACTAAAGTCAGTGTGAGTATGATGCATGAAACAAAAGCTATGTGTCATTGTCTATCTGTTCGCTGATGTATGATTGCATTAGGTCAAAAGGTCAATAAACTCTATGAGGAGAAAATAAACTGTAAACAAAGCTAAGGTGCTGGAGGGTTACTCACATTTAAATCAGCTGTGTGGCAGCATATGGCCGTCACAATCACTGATGGCTGGAAAAAGGTAAACCAAAAATGCTGTAGTCATGTATAATGGATGTGTTTTCAGTTTCACAACTGTTGAATGTTATTTCAGATACTGTCATCTATCTACATCGTTTTTGTAAAGTTACTCTACCCGAAGCTATACATCAGTGTTGTATTATGCACCAGGGGACGGTACAAACCGCTTGTTGACTTTGCTTGGCTTTAGGGGACAGACGTTTTATGAACACGGATGTACAGGCTCTCCTCTCAGGCAAAATGATTCTGAAATTCAGTGGCACTCCCTTTTTATCAGAGCTACTATCATCGTATGTGTATGCTGTCTGGCTACCTGTGCAATCCCTTTAAGAAACGAGTGTATTAGAAAAAAAACAACTGAGATAACCTGGAAGACTGTGCTGAAGGAGTGTGAGGATGTGATACGTGATATCATTGGTGGAGCATGTTCAGGTGACCTTTTCTTTTCTCAAGTGTAAAAAATGTAAACTTAGAAGTGCTTTCTTCCAGACACAAAGCAGTCAGGAAATAATATCTTTCTGAGCCTGCTCTAACCCCTAATACACTACACATAACGAGAGCAGGTGAATACTTTCCACAAAAGGCAATAGAGCTGCTGTAAATCTGATGTAAGAGCATCATCTGCTTTGATATCTTGCTTATTTTACAGCTTTTACAGTGTTGCTGCTCTCTCTTTTGCGGGTCCTACTCCAGATGTTAAAACTGCACGGAGTACCTGTGGTAGAATCACAGCCTGTGGCCATCAGCAGATTTCACCATTACCACAATTTCTGGCAGTTGTCGTCAGATGTGTGTGTTTACAGCCTGCCGCGTGAGACTATTGATTCCCCACCCCTTGTTTCTCCCTGTTTAATTTCAATGAGACTATCCTAAAGACACAAGGGTTAGATGAAGCTAAATAACACATTACATTTTCACGTGTTTGTTATCCTGCTTGGCTGGGGAGCTTTCATGTTTCCCTTGCGAGGCCATCATTGGAGGCGTACAGTCCTTGTTCTTCTGTGTGTCAAAGTGATAGCTGACTTCACTTTGACATTTGATGAATCTTGGGGAAATTCTGCATCTCACTTCTGTAATCTGTCAACTTAAAAACAACACATATTTGCCAAGAGGCTGTACTACATTTCTGGATCAGGGAAGATGGCATACTGTCTTTGCAACTCTGTCTCTTAGCCTAAGACAAGAACATAGTTTCTAAGTATTAGGAACTATGTTCATATGGCAACTAACTTGCAATAGCAAAGTATGTTCACTGGTGACTTTTGGCCCCGACGTACTTGTAGGAAGTAGTTACAGAGAGGAAATAGATTTGGATGGATTAGTTTAGTGCTTGATCTCACCACCATAGATGAGTTTGGTGTCCCCCGTGCTGTCGTGTAGTGTGTTTTAAACATTGAATATTTATCAAAGATCTTTCTTTTACCATTTGTTTTCATGGCCATTGGACACAAACACAAATATCACAATTTAGTTACCACAAGTGGATACTGAAGGAAAACCAGAGTTTTTACTTTACAAAAATGTGTTCAAATGTTGTCCATAAAGACACGTTTCCCTTCAAGCATACAAAGCTAATACAGAGTAGTTTATAAATGTAATTCTTAAGGGAATGTGGGGGATTTTGTTTCTGAGAGTTGCCCATCATTTTCAGCTTGTTGATAATTTGACTGGCTCAATAAAATAAAACAGTTTGTATTATAGTAGAGAAATGCTTGGTTGTGCTGTCAGCTTGTTAAAACAAAGCGAATGAACTTCCCTTTGATGCTGCTGTTGTTCTTGCAGAAGAAAGTGAATTTCCTGAGGTCTTATCTGAATGACCTTGCAGACCAGAACCAGGTGCTGCTTCAGACCATTGAGGATCTGCAGAAGGAAGCTGACTACAAAGTCTCCAACTGGGGAACAAAGCTCCACACCTCTGAGCGTATATTGGACGTAAGGTTTTTATAAATGTTTTAGTATTTATTTAAGTAGTTGGCACATCAGTATATTTAAACAAATGCACAGTATAGTCTTCTTTATGGTATTTAATTCCTTGATGTACATTTGTGTTCAGGAGAGCAATCTGCAGGAAATACCGTCAGGTTTTCAATACATAAAGAGCATTACAATATTTTTAGAGACATGTTACACAGTATAACCACAATGGCAAACATTGTTGTACATACAGTACAATTTGGAGCATGTGACCTACAACCTGAAGATTGCCACAACTCCCAGGTGACACACTCCAAAGGTTTTAAATAGGAATTTTAGGTATAATTATATCCTTTGGATATATACAAATAAATGTACTTCTTTTCATATTACCTTCCTGTTTAACCTGGGGCATATAGTATTCTGTGAAGAAGCATAGCCCAGCGATAATCTGGCGACCTGACCAGGGTGTACTCTGCCTTCGCCCCCCCGCAACACTGAATAGGATAAGCGGTTTCGGATAGTGGATGGTTGGATGGATAGAGAAGCATATGTCAATAGGATGAAATGTCTATTCATAAACCGAATCTATATGAAAATATCAAACGGGCATAAACACGGCAGAATTTATACAGCATAGAGAAAACAAGAGGGGGAAATAACAGCTCATGGCTGTCTTTTATGCAGTATCTATTTCCAAGATCCTTTCTTTGTGCACACCTCTGGAGGCCGAGGCCACTTCAACTTCACAGATTAAAAGTGTCAGGGATCACACTCAATTTGGTTAACAGTTAAGAACATGAAAATCCCTCATTGTTTGTACAAAGCAGGATCGGCATAGAGTAATGGCAATATGGAGAAGCATGGAGCCATGTAACAGTGTTCTGTTTTTATTGATGGGAATTCTTTGCAGAGACTGGTGTTAAAGATGCAGTGACTTCTTCAGCATAAGCTGAGACAAGGAAGGAGTCAAGCAGAGACAAGTCCCCTGTTTTTGTCTGTTAAGCCTGTGGACCCAAACATTCTGGAGGAGACGATGGATTAGCAGACATTTGTAGTGAACTGGAGATGGAAAGTTGTGTGCAAAAATGCTCTTCCATAGTTTTTTTTTTCTTTTCTTTTTTTCCCCAAGATTGCAGCAAGGCAAGGCAGGACTATAAAGACATCACCGCTTGATGTAGTGACTTTAAGGTATTGTTCCATTTCAGTTATGGCCAGGCTTCCATCAATATTCGCTCTTCTGAGTGGATTTCGCTCATGGAAAAGTAATTATGGCCTTTTATCCATCAAAGTACTTATCTGCTATTATGGAGAAGGTCAGAGGGGTGTGGCTTTGTGTGCTCTCTGCACTGGTCAAACAGATCATTGTAATACAATGCTTTGCATTTGTTAATGCTGTCCATTTTTAACTTTCATCATTGTACAACTTCATTCTCCTATATGGCATTGCTTTGGCAACAACAAATTCAATAACTCAATCTGCACAGTTTCTCTTTCCTATGAATTCCTCAAGTGCCTCTATATGCCGTCATATATATTTGTTGTTGTTGTTGCAAACTATAGTGCAAAAATGCATGTGTACTGAACGATGAGAATGGCCAAGACCTTTATCAGCTTTCACATGTGTTATCAGTAATTGAATTGTAGGCCAATTTATTTAGCGCTCTTGCAGATAAAAGAAAAAATAAAACAGTTTATAAAGAAATGGGTAAAGAAAAAATCTGGAAAAGGGATTAAATGACGTTCTCTTAGTTGCAAAGAGTCCTTCAGTTCATTTAGTTGCACAATGTTGTTGTCCGTGAAAACAGCAGCTTCATTTGACCGCCAAAGACACAGTGTGTGGGAACATAACGGTTTGTTGCCGTACTGTCGACCCATCTTCTGAGCTTTTGAATCTCCATTTTCACCCGTCTTAAACGATGCTCTCACTGTCTGTTTATGTTACTTTGTATGTTTTCCGGGTCTAGATTGGTAGACAAATACAAACAAATGGACTGTTTCACTCAACAGTCTATTAGGATAGCCAGGGGACAACAGTGTGTTTCTGCTCTGATGTCCATAATGTGAAATCCAATCAAATGAAGAGCATTTAGAGCTACTTATGGACCGTTCCACCATGTAAACGATGCAATGAGCTCTGTAATAGGAGCTTGGCTAACGTCTGATTGAATCGTAGTGTATGGTCTTGTTGATGCACAATAGGGTTGAACTGTAATGGACACGAAACAGAGTTTGTTTTGTGGTCATAATATCATGAAATCCAAGTCTTGTGTTCTCTTTTCTAGACTGCTTCAATTAGCCTCTTGTCTATTTGTCATCCATCGGCAGACGGATGTAGCATCATCATGTTCCCTACATACAATATAAACCTGAATTAAACAGTACTTTGTGAATAATACTAAATGTCTATTTTAACCTGTGGTTACAGGGCAATACCATCCGTACGCGTAAGTCCAGTTCAATATGGAAGTCATTGGAGAATCACTTTAAAATGCATTCAACTTCTCCACTTTTATTGACCAATGTGACTCTATGTACTGACTTGATCAACTCCACCGAATATGTGCTCCACCCAGGTTAAAACTTATTTTAGTAATTCTGTGGAAAAAAACTACAAACACAGTCATTACACTGAGGTTCATTTCATCCTGTGTAGTAGTATTCATTGACACGGTTTACTGTGGAATAAGGATGTAGATGTATTGTGCCAGCTGAACTCTAAAGCAGCATTGTTTCACTCAGAGATTGATTGGTTTCTATTAGGTAGCTTTCCAAACTTTCGAAAAGATATATGGAAAGTGCTGAACTTTCTTTTTGTTGAAATAAAAAAAAAAGGTTTGGGAAAGTTCTGGGAAACTTCCTCATAGTAATTTCCGCCAATCGCCAGTCGTTTTGGCAGCTTAAGGATAAGTAATCATGTAATGCAATAAAATCGTCACTTTATTGATCTCAGTAGAAATATTTTTTTCCCTTGCGTCATTCCAGGCACAAGGGCACAAGGGCAGCTACAGAACAACTTCTGGAGCTACGTTTGTTGGCCAGATGGTGGTCGTAGAAAGGCCACTTGCCTTTTATAAGACGTATGATTAAGAAAACATAAATAACTGTGCTGGAAGTTAATATGTTGTTTCATGTCGTCATATTTTATAACAGCAGGCTGCAGATGGTAAGAAGGTTGATTGGTCGGTAGTTGTTTGTCAGACTCTTTTTCTAGATCTATTGGATATGTTGTTTGTGTGTATGCGCGCACACACACACACAATACTTGTAGTCAGTGTATGTTTGTCTGTTGGGTCGATTTTTTTTTTTTTTTTTTTTTTTTTTTTTTTTTTTTAATTCACAGAGTTTAGCCCCTGGGCTACAGGGCAGTATGGGGGACTGTGAAGGCCTAAGAGGGATCAGTGTAGATCAGAACAGATCAGTAGGGATCATTTAGGATCACTGGCCCACTCTTTGATCCACTCATCCTGTCATCTATTACCATACCAGCATATTCATAACATCCACGTGTTGGTAAACACATTTGTGAGACTGGTGCTTTGTTGTGCTGGGGCTCAAATTGAAAGTATCCCATTTTGTTAGCTTTCCTTGTTTATAAGAGACAAGGTTAAGAGGACCTCATTTATTTTGTCTTTTTTGTACCTGAGAAGAAACGAATGGGTTATAACAAGTGACGAATACAAATTTGCTAACTGAATGCCGGGAATGTCTCCAGCTGTGATGAGAGTCTCCAATTTTTTTTTGTGTGATTCACAAAGTGACTATTTATGACAGTCCCCATAAACCACAGAACGGGGGCTATTAAAGTGCTCAGGAACCAAATGAGATAATTGGTCTCATGACTTAATCCATGCTCATGAGAACATCATTCTTCCTGACACGTGGAGCACCCCTCTATGGTAGCCCTCTTAAGACCCATTTCAATAAAACAGTACATTAAAGAAGCAGAATGTAAGCTATGGCGTCGCTGTCGGATGAATACCTTTCTGGAATTTGCAAAAACAGCCCTCTTTTCGGAATGATCCCAACTTTTTGAATTCATAGGTCAAAATCACACATGCAGATGCACTACGATTGAATCACAGTAGTACCACAAATACATGTATCCCCTTTCCCCCGCCCAGGAATCGCTAACCGATTAAGAACAGAATTATGCCGGCTAGCCTGTATACTATTCATGCCTTGAGTGTAATGCAAAGAAAGAGTTGCTCCGAACCTGGTCTGACCCTTTGGAGTAGTGACTGCTCTGCCCAAGTCAATGAGAGAAGGTGGAAACTCAATTTAGGTCTGCATTAAAAAACAGTCTCTGAACTGTGTGACCTTCATCAACCCCCTCCTCTCTCACACACACACACACATACATTTGCTTGTGTAGTGGCTGCTTGGAGGGCGAGCGGGAGTGAGAGTGAGAGAGCAGGGGAGGTCAAGGGGTGACGATGGTTGACTATGCTAATGCTGTTGTTAATGACTTTGCTGTGAGTGATAATTGATCGTCTTCATTACCATATTAACTTCTCTGCCCCCACCCTTACCAGAGCCCCCACCCCAACCCCCACTCTCTCTGTGCAGTAATGGATGCCCCTGTTTGATCCTTCAAATAATGAACTAATTAGCTTAATTAAAATCAATAGAGGTGCCAATACCGGGTTAGACATCTCAGGGATGCTGTCTCTATCTGCAGGGAAAGGAATTTTCAGAAAGAGGTGGTGAGAGAGGATGGATGGCAGGCGGTAAGATGAGTAGTACATAAACAACAGGAAGGGTGGGAAAAGGTGAGGATGCAAGAGTAAGAGAAGACAGACACAGGGACAGGCAGAACAAGAGGAAGCGGTTATTTGAAAAGAGAGCATGACAAACACAATGAGGTGAGATGGGTATGGACAAACGGACAAAGAAGAAGTGGGACGGTAGGAGTTGGAGGTTTAAAGATGGTAAAAATGTAAAAATGAGTGGGCAAGGACAAGAAAGCACGAGAGAAATATCCCAGAAAAGGAGGGAGCCACGGAGAGGGGGAACTAAACGAGAGAGAGAGGGCAAAAGAGGTTCCTAATGCTGATTTATGAGTGCTTGACGGTCGTTAGCTGGAATAAATGGCTTGTAGGAGTGGCTGCAGCATTACTCCCTGTACAGGATACTAAGTGCATTGTAAGGTCAGCCATAAGGCCAAACTTGCATGTAGTGCTCTGCCCTTGTAAACCTTTGTTAATATATCAGCCAGACCTGTAACTAGTCCATCTGATACACATGGATGACTGTCACTCCTGTCTGGTAATTATTTTTATTTCACTTTGATTTTGGGAACAACACAGATGTTTAGTGGACACAACTTATATAGTTGGACAGCACAGGAATGAAAAGCACATGTTGTGTTTGGTGTGAATGTAATTTGGTAAAAGGTAGCGCTGAAACAATGAGTCAATTCATTGATTAACTGATTGCCAGGAAATTAATCTGAGAATGTTATTAACCCATTAATCATGTAATCACGTATATAAAACAAGAAAACGTGCTAGTTCCAGGTTCAAATGTCAAATAGTTGGTTTTGCTGCTTTCCTCAGTTTTATAATGTAAAGTGAATATCAGATATGGATGGCCGGTCGCTCCCCTTGGGCAATTTGAAATTGTCATTGGATTTTTTTGTAATTTTATTAACGTGATCAATCGAAGAGTTACAAAACGTTAATAAAAATGTATTTAAGTTATTAGCAGCCCTGCTACAGTCCTTGCTCAGGCTTTTTGTGCACAATCTTGTTGAACACGCTGCTTCTTTCAATGGACAGAGGAAGTTAAAAGTCTTGCAAAGGGTTCGCATAATCTATATAACAGGCAGACATCTGCCAACTGTACAAGGTTGTAAGTCAAGCCCCTTTCCCACTGGACAAAAACCCCTCTAACGTCTGGCTTTTGTCTTTGGTGGGAAAGTTTACAATTTGCATTCATTCCCGGGACGAACAATTCTGCAGTAGTCACAAGTATTTACTGGCTCCAGTTCCGATCGGCAGTGATGGAAACATGACACGCGGGTGGAAGTGCAAATGTTTGCCCATTTTCCTGCGCAATGCTATGTGACACACGTTGAAGTTTAATTTAATCCATGTTGAATAAAATCAACACGGATTTGGGCAATTATTCTAATTTATTAACGTACAAAACAAACAATTAAAACTCATCAAAACTGTCTTGTTAGTCTTTCTACTTCAGCAGCCACCAACCCTGGTTTGGTCAAACTAAACCCGTAATTAACAGAGTTAGATATGAAAAGAAACAGTATTGTTGAGCTTCGCCAAGCCACCAGAATGTATTGACAGATTCTGTAACTTTACCCGACTGATCATCGTAAAACACACTTGATTCAAACTCAAGAGAAACAAAATAAAAATGTACAAACTGTGGTTTGAGAGTTTGAGGGATGGACTCACAGGTCGGACAATTATTTTCAGAAGATGTCGTAATAAACGGTCAGAATGTCGAATGAAAAATGTAATAAACTTGTGTGGTTATGCAGAGTATATTTAGATAAAGGTTTGAGTGCATTTTGATGCCGTAAAAGTTATTATAAATATGGCACAGAAACAAATCCCTGAATGTAAGGCTGCAGATGTGTGTTTTTTGTTTATCATCATAGTTGCATCACTTTACACTTGCGTCAAGCTCACTCTGGACAAAATTAAAGTCCACATTTTTAGTCCACGTTCTCTCTAAACATGCAGCCCATGACATAAGACGCTGGCGTGTTCCTTCCAGTCACCGTCACCACGAGTCGCGTTATCTCATTTCTTTTCATTCCCCGCTCTCCGTTGTGATATGGTGACTCACGCACACACGTCGCTGCCTTTGTTTTTTCTCCTCTGTTGCTTTCAGTTGACCTAGCTCCAGACAAAAGGAATGGAGGGGGAGTGGGGAAAATGGAATGATTGCGTAAATGGCTGGCTATTTTCAGAAAGAAAAGAAGCAGGAAAAAAGCGAAAGTGAGGTGGGGAAAAAACAAAACAGGGAAGAGGAGGCGTGGGTGAGGGGCAAGTGGATGAGACAGGAGGAGACAAGAGAATGTGACGAGGTTGAAAGTGGCTGTTGCTGTAATCAGTTGGCTTTGTTTGTTTGTTTGTTTCTAAGTAGAAGTACAGCTGCTACTTCTACTTTTAATATTATGTTACAGTCGTTCAAATACTTCTACCAGTGAACAGATCCACAGGCAGAGGATTTGTTTGACTATATTCCACATCCTTGCTATTCTGTACTTGGGACTGCGATGGGATCACTTTAGGAAGGCTCAGTACTGCTCGTTATAGACAGAGCACCTTCTATTAGAACACTTTGCATATGCCCATTCTGTTTGTCTCAAAACTGAGTGAGAAAACGTAGTTGTAACTAAGATGTGATGCAACATCCATGTAATGCGCTCTCTTTCTCTCACTCTCGCACTTCTTTTTCCCTCACTCATGCACTCTGCTGATTTTGACCATTACTTTATTAGTATATTTCCTCACTACTCTTTAATGGTATAGCTGTATTTCAAACAAAAAACAACAACAACCTGCATTCAAATTCAAGCAGACAATCACATGTAAGCCCTCCCTCTAACAAATGAATGTACCGTGCTCATAACCTTCACTGGGCTCATTATCATAGATTGCAGGCCTTTTCATAAAGCTGAGACCACTGGTGACGGATTACCAACGGGATGGCCACACACACACACACACACACACACACACACACCGTGATCCATAATGAGACCTTATTCCGGACACTCAACCCCAGCTGCCTGTAAATTACAGCCGCCACTCTGCCATACATACTTAATCAGCTAATGTTGTTTTATTCCTTTATTATTAATTTGCTCCTGTTTCTGATTTATCTAAAGCGCACTGCATCACACCAGTATTTTGTCTCCTCCACAGTTCAGAGAGGCAGAGAGAGTCCATGTGCTTATTCGTGTACTTAGGGGATTGCATCTGTAATGAATGGACTGGCTGTTTAGGCATACACAACACAGCCTACTACTCACCTTAATAATGTAAGCAGGTCGTAACTCCTGCTAACCCAAGGGTATATAAGGCATGCGTACACAGACAAACACACACTTTCACACGCCCAACCACACACAGTCTACCTGTATTAGCCGCTGACCTCTGTGTGTGCCATGTCTTCTCACTGTCACATTGCAGCTGCATTAGAATATGATGTTTTGTGAGTGGGGGGGAAATCGTGTGTATATCTGATCGTCTTTATGTTTGTTGGTTGGGGGACACAAGCACACTTTATGCATTGATAAGATCTACTACACATTTAGAAAATCATTTTTATATACTGTTACATTTAAAAGATAGTAACTTATTGGACTTATCAGTAAAGATTGCACCGTGGAGTAAAAAATGAGGTATAGGGAGTAAACAAGTCAGTCTGTGTTCATCGTTTGTTGTTTCCTGTATTAAGTGGTGTCCTAAAAAAACAACGAGTTCCCGCGGCAGTCTTAAAGGTAGCCTGTCTGCCTGTATCATGCATCAAATATTAACGTCACACATAATGGGTTCAATCCCATCTTTCCGTCCGCACCAGCTCCTCTTTTTGGATGTTTTTTGCTTGTTCTTGTGTGTATAATTTGGTCACTGCCCCATATCCTGCATTCACGTAAACACACAGTTGCACACATACCCGTACTTAAGACTAGCACATGCATAATTGAAACACACACACAAGCTCATACTTAAAGCAGACACACACACATACGCTCACACACAGGGCCGTGTGTTGACCTGTGAGTCATTGCTGTCCGCATTGATTTCCTTTTCCCAGAGTGACCCCTGTCACCACAGCGATAGAGTGGCCGATATTTCACCAGTACAGCCGGCTCCTTCTCTCTTTCTCTCAAAGCCCCTTCTCGCTCTCTTTCTGTAAGTCTAAGACTCTCCCTGTACTTGCATGTCACTTTCTCTCTTCAACTCCTTCTCCGTACCCTTTTTTCCCCTTTGTCCCCATCTGTTTATTTTCTCTTTTTAATGGTCCTATGTAATGAAAAAGCCAGGTCACTGTAACTGTTTACCTCTTTTGTGCACCATTCATTTATAGTGTTTCTTTATGTTCTCTTTTTGTACAGATACAGTATGAATTGACCCCACAACAACAATTTTGACCCATATTATTCACTCATCCTCCACAAACCAATGTTCATTATGGAGAGATACAGGCAGACAGGGTAATGGCAGGGTTATTTGAGTCCAAGGAGTTGTACTGTATCTGGGAATGAACAGAAGACTGTGTGTGTGTGTTTGTGTCCGCGTGTGCACTTTTATCTAACTAGACTAAACTGTGCTGTCTCTTCATCTCAATGTCCTTCTTTCAGATCAAGTGACATCCTGTGCTTCCATTGCGTCAAATGTATTTTTTTTAAATCCCCAAACAGGACAGCCAAATTATTAAGTCATTAGAGTAATCATATTTCAGATTTCATCTTCGATTCTTTTCTCTATATTTGATTCTGTCAGCTTTTTGATTTGATTTTGGTGATTTGTATGCTGTTGGCCCCGTTTTGAAAATGAGCAAAGGAGAAAGTGGAGACTTTTTTTTTTTTTCTTTCATCAATCGTTTATGCAGTTGCATGCTGTGATTTTTTTAGTTTTAGTTTACTGTTCTTTTTCCCGAGACACTATTACCATGTTTCTGTGGTCATCAAGAGGCAAATTCCAAGCGATTAGTTCAACTTCATCACAGTTTACAGCACTTGGAAAGTGTTTTAAAGAATGCTTTTCCTTTATTGAGCATGAGCAGTGTCTAATTGATTAATAAAAGTCAAAATTGCATTATGGTGAAAATGTAATGCCTCACATCAAGTATAGTATATGTTCCCCTTTATATCATTTATAACATGTTGTTCTACTTGGTATAATGGTCTCTATACTAATATACATTACACTATCTCTGCATGTCCGTAACAAATGAAGAAGCATTGCTGCACATGCCCCATGTGACTAAATCTGTTTGCCATTTCTTTGTCTCTCCAAGGTGTCTGAGGTTGATGTGAGGACTTTGTTGCTGGATGAGCTTGTTGGACCTGCGTCTCAAGTCCCCCACAGGTATGGATAGATATCGTCAGGCGTGCTGTATGGCACTCTTATAGTGATTATTAGTTACTCAGCTGCCCTTCATCAACAAGGATTTTTGTTTTTTTCTCAGGAAAAGTTTACTCTTGACTCTTGATAACTAATAACTTCTGCGTAAGAACTTCATGAATCGACCACACACTCTCACACAGGTCCTCTACTGCAGAGAGAGGCAACAGTGTTGGCCTCAGGGGCTCTGTCTCTCCGGAGGGAGTTTGAGCTCCTGAGGGAGTCACTGGAACACCACTGTCCCCATGGCAATATGCAAATCCCTGTATGATATTTCCCACCATGCAGTGCTCCAAAGCCCCTAAAGACTTGTTCTGTTTCTACTTTAGACCTTTCTGGAAAGACAGATTCTCATTTTTAGTTTCACACATTTTGACAAAACTAATGAAAGGAACATTTTCTGAATCTAAATCTGCATGCTCATACATATGTGCCTATTCCAGATGTTACCATTGCTAGTTAGACACCTGGACTTACCAGACCAGGGAGAGGTTTGATATGAAAATCACGTGAGTTCCAATAATCCCCATCGCTTGCTGAAGCTTAAGTTACCCAGTGTCAAATCGAGCGCAACCTTTTTTTTTTTTTGTCAGTCAAAACCATCCTGCAAATAAAACATTAAATTCAATTGAAATTGGCACTTTAATACTACTTCTTAACATTAACTTTCCATTGGTCTCCTGTACTGACAACATATAAAGTACTGTATTTCTGCCAAATGCTATATCACACAAGTTGACGTTGTAATGGTTAGTGTGATTACATGACATAAACAAACATAATATTATATTCTAAAGCTGTCATATGAAAACTAAGAACACATCCAAATATGGTCGGAAGTAACCAGACAGTAGTTTGACAGCCTGCAGTGCAGCCAATTAAAGCACCAAGCAGAGCAGGAAAGGGTGGTCTGGCACCATGTGGCACAGTTGAGTTTGTGGCTGTACAGGCTTTCTTTGGCAATCCTGCGAAAAGGCACTGAAGGGCATGATGGATCCTCAGCCAGCGCTCTCGCTGTCAGAGACACGGGGATTTGCATCACACCTTGAGCGTTTTAAATGGCTGCACATATAATAATAATAATAATAATGAAAAAAAAAAAAAAATGAAAGGAGTAAATCAGGTCTCATGAAAAGAGATGACAGGCAGGTTGAAACAGTGGGTGAGTGTGTGTGTTTCTTGCCACCAGCGTCAACATTAAACACATCAGATTGAAGCCACCCTCCAGGGTAGCATCACTCAGCCAGGTGTGTGTGTGTGTGTAAATGTGTGCGTGTACATGGTGAAACCTAAGTCTTTTATCTACTTTTCCATTTCCTCTGGTTTTTTGTTTATCTACAGCTTTATTTATATATTTCTGCTCAAATGGTGTTCCGCACACACACACACACACACACACACACACACACACACACACACACATTGATCTATCGATGTATTGATGTGTGAGTGGGTGTCAGTTTTTTTATTTCCCATCCCTCCAATTTTTTAATTATTTTCCCTTCGTATAATCTCCTGCAGAGTTTTTTCCTCTAGAGTTAACTTGAGTGCTGTTTTCCTTTGCCAAAAGCAGTCAAATGCTGAAAGTTAGTTAGGTTAAAAAAAATAAAAAATAAAGCTTTGACAGAATATCCTGATTCTCATTTGGGAAAGGTAGAAACTTAACTTATTTCGCACTCCGGCAGTATCCCTCAGTGTAACTGTTGTAATTCAACTCCAAACTTTTCTTTGTTAACAAAAGTGATAAGATATTTAGGCTTAGGAGACTGGTGCTTCATTATTGTTAAATTATTATTTTCCTCATGGCTGTGCTTGTTTTTCTGTTTGTCTCCTGACTCTTTCCTTACCGTTACAGTAGTGGATGCATCTCTCTCTCTCTCTCTCTCTCTCTCTCTCTCTCTCTCTCTCTCTCTCCCCCCCACTTCTCTCTCAGGACGTGAGGAGGATATGTCTCTTTTTCTCCATATTGACTTTCCCAGGTCAGGCTCCTCTTCTCCTATTAGGCCAAGCTAACTGATCAATACGCAGGCCTGGTGGGCTGCTGTGTGGACATGCAGACAGGCATACACAGCGGGCCGTGCCCAGGCCAATTGCCACACACACACACACACACACAAACATACACACACACACAGCAGGACACGTAAAGTACATGCATCTACCCAATCGCACACGTTCATACATATAATTATATGTAAAATGAATAACGATACAACTGACTGTAGATTCTAATATTCCTACAATCTGTTATAAAAAAATCGCTAACCTGAACACAACAGATTTCTAAATCAATCAATCAGTTATGTATCAATCTCTAAGTCTTCATCGAGTTGGTTGCTTCTCTGTCAAATCCGAAGATGTAACAAAAACTCCTCCTCTCCTCTCAAACCTGCTCCTCTCTTCTCCTCCCCTGCTGTTTTCCCAGCTGGTGAATTGTGACATCTGCAGTGCTGCATGGATAAGCAGCTGCCAGAGATGGAGGGGGGAGGGGGGGGGGGGGGGGGGGGGGGGGGGGGGGGGGGGG